CGGCCGACACCGCGACGCGGATGCTGTACGCTTGCCCAAGGTGAAGTAGTTACTCGCTGCGATTAGAACGCAATCAGTTCCATCGCAGAACATACGACGGTTGGGAGTGCTTACGGATGGTTGGGCGGAGTCCGAGTCAGTATCGGCACCGTCGTCCTCGTCATAGACATACAACGCGGGAACACCGGGAGGCTGTTACCCTTAGCAATCGGGTGACACATACGCAGACAACGACTTACCACGTAGGTGAAAGTGTCGCCCCACTCGTGACGCTTCTGCAGCCATTTGGGCATGCTTGGATAGCGCCTCTGCTGAGGCGTCATGTCATACTCCTTCTCTTTGGAGTAGATGATTGGAATGGCTGTGGCGACGTCAATATGGGTAGTGGCACTGATTAAACGTGATACGCACTGATGTATCCGGTGTACTCGTACTGAATGTACCGAACGTCTTTGAAGACTTCAAGTTCGCGCAACCACGGCGGGAACCAGTAGTCGGCGCATGCCATCGCACTCTGATCGAGGGAGAGATCTGGTACCTCGAGCCCGTCGTCGACGAACGCCAAGCGACACACAAGCACGTATCCCTGGGCGAGTTTTCCAGATTCGTCACGGACGCGATGTTCAATGAGGCTGGGGCAATGGATCCAGTTGTTGTCGTGGAAGTAAAGCGTTGCAGCAAAGGGGGCATCTTGGGGAGTGACGTCGGCGATGCCGTATGCTTTCATGACTAGATGATGGACGGCCTCGGAAGGAAACCAGAATCCACCGACGTGAACGGACATCGAGAAGGGGAGACGAGACGGTGGAGATAGTATGGATCTGAGTGGCGGTGGTGGGTCGGGCTCCGTCGCCTCGCGTGTTGCCTCGTGGCTGGCTTTCAGGCGGAGTTTTAATATGGCCACTATGGTCCCGCCGGTCAGCACTCGAGCTCGCCGCGGAGCAGCATCTCCAGTCGCCCCTCCGCGCGTGGTACACCGACAAACAGCGCGCCGAGTACACCTCTACTGCTATGCCCCAACCGGCTCCGCGTTCTTCGGCCCTCAGAAGACTCCCACTTGGTACGGACGCGGTGGCACCCCTCCGTGCGCTCTACGACTCAGGTGGCCGCACACGGGACAGCGCCGTCATTGTCGTGCGCGTGCGCGCCCATCTTGCAGGTCGTGCAGGTGCGCCCACGGCAGCTCGCGGAGGCGTGTGCGAGGCTCGTCGCCGCGAAGGTGAAGGGGCGCACGAGGACCAGAGAACGCTGATGAGTCCCCCGGCGGCTGGTGCGGCGGTCTTCTGGGGACCGAAGTTGAAGGTGGAGCATGTCCGGGAGTGGCAGTAGACGCGGTCCGCGGTACCTCGAGTGTGTACTCGCCCCGCTTACCGGAGTATCCCTCGCAGAGAGGTGAAGGGAGGTGCTGCTTGAAGCATATCGGGGGAAGAGCGACTCGTCGGCGTGGGTAGCACCCTGGGACGTCGTGCATGGGCAAACGACGTCGACGGCATGGTCGCATGGCAAGGCGCCATTGATCGAGGTTTCGCTCCATACGGCGAGCGCGGCGGTGTTTAGAGTTCATCATATCTATGTATGAGACTAAGAATCAAGATCGTGTGTTTAGGACTGGCACGGAGGGTTTGCGTACCGTTCTTGGTAAGGGTCGAAGCACTTCATCGGGGCGATCGGGGCGGGACCTCCGACGCCAACACTTGTGGGCAAACGTCTAACACCTCGTGCTGCACAAATCCACACAGCAACAGTGGAAGCGCATCGCGTTGTAGCTCATTCTGCTCACTCCGCTTGCACATGAGGACTTGCATTCGAGGAGAGTGGGCGTGACAGAGTTGCACGGGGCGACGGTGGAGAGGCTTTTATTAGGCGCCATCCGAGTCAGTGGCATGGGGAAACCGACGGCTCTTGGCACAAGCAACCAGGTCGGAGGGAGTAAAGCACGAGGGATCCCGGAAGTCCATAAGCATATAAAAAGAGGTGAATAACTATCAATAAGGATACATGCAGAGTGAAGGATAACGGGGACGCAAGATCTGGCTAGTTGGACGTACGGCCGACACGGCGACGCGGATGCTGGACGCTTGTCCAAGGTGAGGGAGTTACTTGCTGCAATTCGAACGACATCAGTTTCATCGCAAATTATGAGGCCGTTATAGGTGCTCACAGATGATTGGGTTGAATCCGAGTCAGTAGTGTTGGCGCTATCGTCGTCGTCGTAGACATACAAGGCGGGAACACCAGGAGGCTGTTACACTTAGCAAACGGGTGGCGCATACAGAGGAGTCAACGGCGTACCATGTAGGCGAAAGTGCGACCCCGCTCCTGACGCTTCCGGAGCCATTTGGGTATAGTTGGATATCGATTCTGCTGAGGCGCCATGTCATACTCCTTCTCTTTCCAATAAATGATTGGAATAGCTATGCGGATGTCAACAGAGGTAGTGGCACTGATCGAACGTGATACGCACTAATGTATCCGGTATACTCGTACTGAATGTACCGAACGTCTTTGAAGACTTCAAGTTCGCGCAACCACGGCGGGAACCAGTAGTCGGCGCATGCCATCGCACTCTGATCGAGGGAGAGATCTGGTACCTCGAGTCCATCGTCGACGAACGCCAAACGACACACAAGGACGTGTCCTTGGACAGGTTTGCCAGATCCGTCCCGGACGTGATGCTCAATGAGACTGGGGCAATTGAGGTCGTCGTTGTCGTGGAAGTAAAGTGTTGCGGCGAAGGGGGCGTCCTGGGGGTGACGTTGGCCAGGCCATAGGCTTTCATGAGCAGATGATGGACGGCGTCGGCAGGAAACCAGAATCCACCAACGTGAACAGACATGTTGTGCAGCAAAGGGAGGTGAGACGGCGGAGATGGCAGGGCGGAGGGAGATGTGAGTGGCGGTGGCTGATGAAAGCAGGAGTAAAACAGTTGTTTAGCGCCAATGTTCGATTTCGCCGTGTCACGTGTGGGTGTTTCTTTACGGCGGAGATTGAAGCACCGGCCCGGTCCTCCTTCCAAAACCACAACCTCGCGTGTGGCAGGCTCACCCCCAACCACCTTCCTCAACAATCGAACAATGGCCTCCTCGCGCTTGCATTGTTCCAGTGAGTATATAATTCTCCCCGCCGTTTTCGCACCGCCGCTCTCTCATACCCGCTCTCCTCTACCATCTCCCCTACAGACCAACCCCATGGGCAAGAAGCAGACTACGCCGCCCGGCGCGAAAAATACTAAGAAGGCTGAACCTTCCAATGCGTGCGTATTTCTGCATTTTTGCCGCCTTTATCGTCTCAACCACCCCCACTCCCCTTCCCTAGGCCACCCGTATCACCTCTCGTCTCCCTGACCACCCTCCCGACTCCGCTTGCTGTCCCGCCCACTCTCGGTGCCCTCAATGACGATATCATTTCTGTTATCACGGGAGTTATTGACTCTATGGTACGTTTTATACTTCATTAACCATGTGCATGGCTAAACATCATCGCTGTCCGCTCCTGCCTCGTCTGTTCAAAGTGAGTAGCTTGTTTATCATGTGGGTTGTAGTGCGCTAAACGTTGATGAACATATATAGGCCCGCGACCCGGAAGAGGAACGGTACAATTGACTCTCTCTTGACGGCGAAGCATCGTCTGGATATAATGAAGACTTCACTGGTGAGCACGCTTCTTTGGCTTATCCTGCCACACTCTCATCTTTCCTGGCTCTCGAAGGCAGCCCACAATGTCGCGGAGCTTCCTTTACTCCCCGCCTCTTCCGACGGAAGCGGTTCGCATGGCGCGTCTTCAACCACGGAAGTCTGCTTGGCCACCGTCCCCATCGACGCCGCGCCATGCGGTGCTCCATCGATAGCCTTGCCTGGAGCCGATCCGACTGCGGTGCTATCCATCGGCATCGCGCCTGACCCTGACCACTCCACGACCCAAGAAACACATCAGCATACCTCGGTAATATGTTTATATGTTTCATTAGTGCGTTGTTCTGACCACATTTCAGGCGTCCGCTGCCCAAGAGCCTTCCGAACCTGCCCAGGAACCTGACGTTATCGTCGACGGTCAGGTCAAGGAAGATTTGTTGCGCCTTCTCGCTGAATCTTGTGATGTATTCGTGCGTGTTCTTCACTCTTGTTTGGAATGCCCAAAGCTGATCCGGTCAAATGTCCAGAACAACAGGTGAGTCGCTATAGAACGACTGCCATGTCAATACTAAACACTCTTATACTACAGTAAGGAGCTCCGATCCGGGCTTGCTGACGAGATCAACGACTGCCTCGCGAAGCTCACCGAAACTCAAACCCTGGTCTCGTACCTCCTCGCGGATCCACCATCGCGCCCAGACGCTGAGGGCCCCACGGTACATATTCGCTTCAGGTCGTTCGTCATGGTATCGCTGACACTCTAACGCGCTTTCAGGACCACGTCGACGAAGTGATGAACCGTGTCCCGCCGTTCATCTGGTATCTCGTCGACCACATCACCCCAGACTCTCCCGAGTGCAAGATCGACGGTGTCACCCAGGTCCTGTACTCGTACGTTCTCACTCCGGAACAGCTGTGCTGGGTTCAAGTCCAGGCTACGATCTCCAGGCTCGAGGCGGTCAAACAGCGTGAGCGTGGAAAGCGCTCGAAACGGGGCGTACGAGGCGGGACCAAGGCTGAAGATCCTCCGTCGCTGGAAGAGCGGGTTATCGATCCGGAAGGCGTGGAGGCCGGTCCGCCAGCGGCCTCCACCCCCGCAGACACCATTTCGACCCGTCCGAGGCATAAGCATGCGTCGGGTCACCTTTCCTGCTTTGTTCCGGACGTTCTGGTTTCCGCGGTCGATGGCAGGGGTCGTCGGATCCGAGTTCTCCTGCTTGTCGAGAACAAGCGGACCGGCAACCCCATTCCCCAGCTCCTCGACTATGCCAAAGAGTTCCCCAATGAACTCGACACTGTTTTCATTGGTGTCAAGATTTGCGATAAAGGTATGGGTCTCCAGGCGATCATTCTGCGTCGCGAGAGCAACGAACAGAGAAGGTTGAAATTGGTTGTGATCCACGAAGATGGCAGGACCGAAGATCCTGCCGATATGGTAGACGTCGAGGGCGCCTATGTCCCTGTCCACAGCCGTTTCTTCATACAGACCCTGTTGGACGTTCTCGATCGTCACCGCAGCCACATGCAGGCGCCCAACTGAACTAATACTTCCCTCAATCAAGTACGTCTCGCACCGTTTTATCTATCCACACTTATTCATCGACTCCCAGATGGTAGGCTGTGCCGCTTTGCACTCATGCGTGCTCAATATCAACGTCTCAAGACAGCAGTCTATGCCCTCACTACGTCTTACGATTTCACACACTCATTTCCCTCCGTTATCATCTCACTATCTCACTCAGACACTCCTGTATCCATCTCACGCTCGTTGTATCTCTTCACCTGTATTGTATCACATTTAATCTCGTCAAATCTCGCTACTCTCCCCACGCTCATTTGCATCGTCTCTGCTGACTCCTATATACTAAAACCTTTTTTAATCATGCTCGTCTGATTACGGTGTGAACGTTTCTTGCTCCCAGACTGGTAGCGTAGTACCAGTGCGCTTTGCACTCGATTTCCTGGGTGCCCGACGCCCAGATTTGCAAGCCGGGGTGCGAAAACCGACCTTCGAGTAGTAAGTATTTCGACATGGGATAAATGTTGGAGGACATTTCTCGCGTGCACCACGAAACATTGAAACATACATGCGTGGCGTACACGAGTGAGGCTTTCAACGCCGTGCCATATTGTGAATATCGGCTCGAAGACGTGACCCTGCCCGATCTCCCACAGATCTTTCTCCGCTCTTCACCCTCGCCCCGAGGAATTCTCCGAGAAGCCCGCGTCCATCAAGACCCAAACGAAACGCCCTCCTACCCGTGCCGCAGCGCGCAGACGACTTCGACGACCGAGTCCTGGTAGTTCCAATCCTTGTCGTGGAGCACGACGCGGTGGGGGGCGAGCATCTCGCGCAGTCTGTCCGTCGCGTCCGCGGCGACATGCCTGACGGGGTGTCCGCCGCACAGCGCGGCCGTCCGGCGTACGTAGAGCACGTGGAAGGACTCGAAGTGGAAGCCTGGACATCTGGAAGGCGGAGGCGGCGCCGCCGCCGCCGGGGGATTGAAGCGTGCGCCCAGTGCTTGGTGCGCTGGGCGTGGCCATCGAGGTACTGCTGGAAGACGAGGATGAGGATAGATGTATGCTTAATTAGGTCGGGGTGGTGGAGAGCGAGGGAGGCGTGCAGGATCTGCGCGCGGAATAAAGCAACGGCCCGAGACTACGGACCTCACCCGCTTCATGTCCCCACCGTGAAGACAATTTCAAGCCTGGTGACAAAGGCGAGACCGCGCCACAGGGACAACGCGCAATAGATTGATCCGTACCGAGCAGCGCATCCGGTGAACTCAGGTTTACGAGCGCGCGCGACTGGTACTCGGTGAAACCCGGATGACTCATCACTGCCGCCGAGGATTCCCGAATCAGGGCCAGATCAAAGCCTCACCCAAATTGAACGATGGGAGTCGACCTGGATCTTGACTCCCTCCTTGAACACCACCCCGACCCAGTGATGCTGTAATCCGAGCGCATCGTGCTGTGACTTCAAGCCCACGGTCTGCTCCCCAGTGACCTGTAAGTCCATTGCTCGTTTTCCAGGCCACGATCTCCGCGACGACGAGAGTCGAGTGCGCCGTCGGGGGAGGTGCTTCGCGAATTCCCTCCCGCCATCTCCACTCAAGGGCGCTCATACACGGGCGTGTTTATGCTTGTGCGTTGTGAGTGTCCAGCACCCTTGGGGGCGTGTTCGTCTCCCAGCTGGCTGTCTCTCCTTGCCGCGACGTCGCGTCGGGTCAAAGTTGGCGGGTACGAGGGGCTTATCGCAGATCAAGGCGTTCTGTCTATCTGCATGTATGCTGACGAAAATCCCCAGCTTTGGTTTCCTGTGCGATTCCAAATAGCCGGATGGACTGACTGCATGTGCGCGACTGCGTCGCGCCGAGGTGAACACAGTGAGTACCCTCCGCGACTGTTCTGCGCATCGCTCTATCACTCGACTGGTGAGCGTTGGGGCTTCTTCTCGACGTTTGTTGTCTAGAGGACAAGGACTCCCTCTGGAGACGGGTTTGCTAGCTGGTCGTTGGCCCTTCAGTGGCTGGCAGATGTTGCCTACCCCCAATTCGGGATAGCCATGGCTCAATCGAGCATGAGGGATTCCTATGGGCTCTATCTTTTGACTTCACCCATTCATCGCACTCGCAGCATTTGGCTAATCGTGCCTTGACAGTGTGTCTACAGTGACAACCCTTTCCTCAGATGCGCCACGATCACGACGATCACGCCGATCACGCCGAAGTCAGGGTTGAGGACTATGAAGAAGTCTGCTCTCCCATCCGCGGTGTGTGTACGTTTCGAGATCCGTACGCTGTCTGTGCCGCGCGCGCCCTATCACTTGACCGGCGGACGTTGGACATCTGTCCCGACGTTTGCTGGCTGGAGCCCAGGCCGCCCTCCAGCTGCAGGCTCCCGAACGAACCCAGAACCTGGGGGTGTTACCACAGTCTTCATGTGACCTCCCTGTTTGGGTAGACATTGAGGATTGGGAGCTGGGGTTGGCCACCCCAAGTTCGGGACAGCTATGGAGCAGTCGAGTATGAGGGGCTTTTATGCGCTCTGTCTTCTGGTGTCGCGTTGTCGTCGGGCCCGCAGACTTTTGCTAATCTGGCCTTGAAAGCGTGCCCAGAGTGGCCAACCTTTCCTCCAACGTGTCGCGATCACGACGATCACGACGATCAGGCCGAGTCAGTCCTGGAATATTGCGGACAAAAGAGGTCTGCTCTCCCACCGTACACGTGGTGTGTGTGCGTTTCAAGGTTCGTACACTCTCTCTGTCGTGCACGCCCGCATAACCTACGTCAGTACCTCTTGCGAGTACGTTTTGGCTGTTTGTGCAGTCGTCGGAGGCCACCCAGGCATTCGGGTCGCTGCGATGCTGTCGAGCATGAGGGGCCTCTTGCTATGCATGTCGTCATTACGTCTTGTACGGGAGCTGACCGTCTTCGAATTATAGCATTTGGGGTCCACAGGCTATATCGTCTCACTACTCAGGGTCTAATCCACAGACCTCCGGTTTATCTCATACGTTCACCACTTTATAGAGATGTCGTTCTCATGCTTGCTGCAGCCCGAGCAGCTTCGCATTGCATATAGTCACGTCGCCCCTTACACACTGAGTGACTCGTTCAAGACCTCCTTGTGCTAACCCGATGGGATCTTTTACGGGGTACTCGCGCCACGCGCGCCGCTCCCTGCGGCTTCCGCCAGGAAACGTGCTTCGGGGGCTCGAGAGCTCGAAGGATCAGATAGGCGATGAAGGCGTTGGACTGGTCATTTGAGTTTATCTTTCGTACCAATTGACTAATCAAGGTGATTCAGCCCAAGATTCACACAAAAGTCGTCTGTGAATGGACGTTCATTCGAACACGCGCGGAACGACGCTTGGCGAGTCGTGGGCGAAACAGTGCCAGAGGGCTCGTGCATCGCCAGCGAAGGCCCAGAGTTGCAGAACCAGGCCAGCTTTGATCAAATTCGCCTCCGAACACGATCGCGGTCAGGCCACGTCACGTCCGCACCGCAACTCTCCTGCAGTCCTCGCCCGATGAGATGCCTCTCTTCGACGCTGGTCCCCAACTCCGTCAAGACGAGCCGCTTCGTGTTCGTCACTTCACCAGTGCAGTCCTCCGCGCGGCGCATGTCCGTTACAAAAACGTGACCCCGATGCGCTCCCACTGCTCGCGATGCGCCGCGTGAAGAAGCAGGCTTGGTCCGACGGTGGCGGCTGGCAGACCGCTGATGTGATGCTAACTCCGGGAAGAGTCAACAAGGGGAGAGGGCTGAGGTCGAGTCCGCGTAGGTGTGAAGCGCGGGAAGTCGGTAGAGAGGACGAGCACCGTGGGACAGGACGTCCGAGGGTGTCGCGGAGGAGGAAGGGGACGGAGTGCGCGAACGCGGAGGAGAGGAGAGGAGGACAAGCGAAGAGACGATAGACGCGGACGAGGGGGGCGCGCACGGGCGCTACGAAGGCGATGGGCGACGGGCGATGGGCGACGGGCGATGGGCGACGGGCGATGGGCGACGGGCGATGGGCGATAGTCGAGGGCGATAGGCGACGTGTGCGATGGCGATGGACGACGAAGACGAGATGATACGAGATGAGATCGAGTAGAGGCGAAGTCGAGAAGTGAGCACACGACGCACGCACGGAAATGCGAGGAAAATGAACTGGATAGCAACCAGTGCGAGTCGAGTCTAAATACATGCAAATGCGGCCCGCGCGAGAGTGTGACTACGACCGAAACGAGCACCCGAAACCTGTCTACAAGTCTGAGTGTCATGGCGAGCGTCCGGAAGATAAGAGAAACAAGTGGCGGAGCGGGGCAACGAGTGTGGCTGACCATGGAGGCCGTGGAATGGGGGATACGAAGGGGCGAAAAGGGAGAAGAAACGTGTGTGGGTGTGTAGCTAACTATGAAGCGGAGCGATCGCGAGGGTCGGTGTGGTGTACCGTAGGGATGAGGGACGAGGATGCGCGGGACGAGGATGTACAGTGCGCGAGGGCGCGGATCTCGCGCGGGCGTCTGACGGACGCGTGCACGTACCAGCGGCGGTGGATGCACATCACCCCCTCCCTACTGAAATCTGAACCCTCCAGGGGTCAGGCGACAGCAGGACTGAGGCGCGGCGGCGATGAAAGGAAGAGGGCGGGGTGAACGGATGTGGGGAATGAATGGACATGTAACGTCGGATGCAAACTGCGACGGCACGATGGGAGCGGAAAAAATTTGGAGGTTGCGGGGCATGAAGTCCGGGACGGGAGAGCGTCTTGTACGCGGGGAGAAGAGCGCGAGAGGACGGTGCCGGGATGAGAGCGTACCGAGGCAAACTCCCTCCTGACCAGGCCGTGCCTGCTAATCCTCCCTAATCTCATCTCCGTCAAATAGCTCGTCAATCACGTCTCTGGACGCCAGTTCGTCGTCTTTTCTGGTGTCGTCCTCGCCGAGTGAGTTCGAGGCTGTGTTGATCTCGCGGAGGCGTGCAGTTGCGACTCGGACGTCGAGGGCGGAGTTGTCGGGGCACGGACTCGGAGTGGAGACAGAGGCGCGG